GGGGCAAGAAGTGAGACATGACTCTTCCTGGCACAGAAGGTCTCTGAGGGGCGAGAGCCCTCCAGTAATTCCTTGGCTCTGGCTTGGAATCATGGAATGTTAGAACTAAAAGGCAAGCTGGGAAGCCCTGCTCTTGACTGATGAGGAAACTGAGGCCCAGAAAGAGAAAGTCAGAATTAAGTTTCATAAAGATAGCCTAGAACCTCACAGCAAGGTCTTCTGTTAAGTGGGCTCCGTAGCACCATTTACATTGTAGAGCTTTTTTAGGACTCTACCAGACATGATACAACTAATAAACCTCATTTCCTGGCTTTCCGTGTGGATTTTGTGCCTCATCAAGGCATCGCCTTTCACCCCGCCCCCATACAAAAACCGCGTATCTTTCTCTCTCCTTCCCCAGCTTCTCTCTTCTTGAAAACCTTCCCTGGTTTGTGCCACTCCAGCTTCCTTTCATGACAAGATTTCCGCCTTCCTGTCTTGTTTGCTGATTTACGGTTGTTTCCGACACATCGTCCGGAGGCGGTTTTTCCCCCTTCTCGCCCTGACCTAGCCATGAGCTTCAGCGTGGGCCCGGAGGGCAGAGGGCTGTGGTTTCTGCCACCGTCTGCCCTCTCCTTGTTTTTTCTGCCCTCGCGAGTACCTGATAAGTAAAGGCATAGTACTTTAGGATATTGGATTGGTAAATATATATATCTTTATTGTTTCATTGAATCATAGAAGTAATAGACATTATAAAAATTAAGACAATTCAGAGAAGCACAAAATGAAAAGTAAACATCCTCCCCCCTCCTTAAATCCTGTTCCCCAGAAATAACTAGTGTTATTATTCTTTCAAAAAGTGTATGTATGTCTTACGTATTTACCACATGCCAGGTGCTGCTGTGAGCACTTTTGTTTTCTCATTTTCTCCTCCCCCGAATCTTCTGAGGTACGAATAATTATTTGCATTTTCTAGATTAGGAAACTGAGGAGGATAATAATTTTTTTTTTTTTTTAATGCTGTTAAGCACTATTTAAAGGGCTGTCATGTAGAACAGGGATCAGGTTTGTTTGGGGTTGTTCCAGAACACCACACAAACACCAAGGGTGGGAGTCAGGAAGGAGCTAGTTTCTGTTGAATACAGCGAAGCACTTTCTGGCGAATCACTTAATACATCAGTGGGAGAGGCTGCCCTTGATGGAGTCAGTGAACCTCTTTCTCTGGCAGTGTTTAAGTCCCTGCTGGCTGCCATCTGTCAGGGATGCTGAGGAGGAAGTCCTCACTGGCAGGAGGATGGCCAAGGTGACCCCCATGGTTCTGTTCCATTCTGCCTCCTCCTCTGAAGAGTAATGGGGTCAACCAGCCAAGTGAACCTCACGTCTGCCGCTTTATGGCCGGAGGAGCCCTGTGAAGGAGGAAAGGTACCCAGAGCGTCACCATGGGTGTTAAAATAGTTTTGCCGAGTGTGGGACTGGGTTACCCATGTGGTGTGGCTGTGAGATGGCAGAATCCAACATAAAGGACAGTCGGATGCCAGTTCGGCCCTTCTGTGCCTGTATTCCCCGGGAGAAGGGGGGAGAAGGAGATGGAAACTGCCTTTTTGGCTCATGCGACTCTTTCAGGGTCCAGTCAGTCCCCTAGGTTGTGGTCTTGGGGCCAATGACACTTTCTGTTTCAGAGCAGGTACATAATCACTTCAGGAGGTACGAGGTCGAATACCTACAGTTTGCCTTTCGTTGGATGAACAACCTGCTCATGCGGGAGCTTCCCCTTCGCTGCACCATCCGCCTATGGGACACATACCAGGTATGAGGGGACCCCTGCCCTCTCCATGCCAGGCTGTCCCTGAGGCCCCCAGCTCCCTGCCCTGGTGGAGAGTAGCTGCTCAGAATCCCCTACCTCCTTTCTATTTCTGTGTCTGCCTTGGCCTCATGGGCAGGGCCTCTACAGAGTCTGTTCAGGCCTCTGTGTGCCCAGCCGTGAAAGGAGTGCCTTGCTGTGCTCCTACCTTGCAGGAGGACCGGGACCGAGAGGACTAGAGCCGGCTCCTTGTCAGGGCCTGGAGACCTAACTGTTCTTTCCCTTCCCAGTCCGAACCGGAAGGGTTCTCCCACTTTCATCTCTACGTGTGTGCAGCCTTCTTGATCAAGTGGAGAAAAGAGATCTTGGATGAGGAGGACTTTCAGGTGAGTGGCCAAGAGCTTAGCCTGGGCTGGGATGAGCATCAGAGAGGGAGCCATTCCGTTAGTGGGGCTGCACAGGGAGAAGGTGCAGTGGCGGGTACCTGGCCGAGAGGAGGAAAGGAGACAGGGTGCTCAGAAGGCCGATGGGCCAAGTCAGTGAGCCCCAGAGTTCTTCTGTACGAAAAGGGTTTTAGGGCAACTGGATGGCTCAGTCAGTTAAGCATCTGACTCTTGATCTCAGCTCAGGTCATGATCTCACGGTCCATGGGATCAAGCCTGGAGTTGGGCTCTGTACTGGCGGCACCAAGCCTGCTTGGGATTCTCTCTCTCTCTCTCTCTCTCTCTCTCTCTCTCTCTCTCTCTGTCAAAATAAATAAATAAGCTTAAAAAATATATATGTATACGTATACATGTATGTATATACGTGTGTGTGTGTGTGTGTGTATATTTTTTTTTAATAGGTATTAGTGCTAGAAAGGTTGCAGAGCAGCTAGGCAGGCCTAAGAGATGTCTCATTCATTCATTGACAAGCATTTGCTGAATGCCTGCCATGTGCTAGGCACTGGTGAAGGCATAGGATATACTGGAAAGCAAAATAGACAGATCCCTGTTCCCATAGAGCTTACATGCTGGTTGGGAAGAGACTTAACAATAAACAAGAGCGTAGGAAATTTTATTTTAAGTAGAGCAGGATAAAGGGATTATTAGGTGGTAGGGAAGAGATAGTTTACAATTTCAAATACAATAGGATAGGCTCACTGAGAAGGAGATGCTTGAGCAAAGGCTCAGGGAAGGTGAGAGAGTGAGTCATGGACATCTGGGGGACGAGTGTCCAAGCAGAGGGAACAGTGGGGTTCCCTGGGCTACTTAAGGAATCATGGTGGTGGCCTGGAACAGAGTGGTCCAGGGGAAGAGTAGGAAGAGGTGAGGCCAGAGAAGTCACAAGGGACCTAGGTCACAGAGGACTTCGTAGCCACTGTAAGCTTTGGCTTTTACTCTGAGTGGAAGGGGAGCCATAAGAGGGTCGTAAGCAGAGGAGGGCCGTGATCTGACTTACATTTTCAAAGGATCGCTCTGGCTTCTATGTAGACCGTAGGTGTGGACGAAGGTGGAGGCAGGGAGACTGCCCAGCAGGCTGTTGGAGTCCTCCAGGTGAGACACGAGGATGGCTTGGACCTGGATGGTGGCAGTGGAGGTGTGACAAGTGGGCAGATCTTGCTTATATTTTGTGAATAGAGCCAACAGGATCTCCTGATGTGTCGAGTGTAGAGTAGGACAGAGAGGGATGAGTCAGGATGACTCAGTTTATGAGAAGGGTCTAGGAGGAACAGGCTTATGGAGGAATTTCAGGAGTTCAGTTTTGGGCATGCCAAATCGGAAGTGCTTTTAGACACCCAAATGGAGATCTAGAGTAGGCAAATAAATCTTAGGAGTCTGGAGCTGGAGAAGGAGAGAGCTTGGACTCATGTTTAGGAGCCTTTGGCTAGATGGTCCTTAAAACCAGGACAGTAGATGAGGAGTGAGTGTGGACGGAGGAGCCCCGGGCCTGAGCCCTGGCACACCTTCCCGAGGAGGCTGGTGGGGAGAGGTGGACAGAGCAAAGGAGGCAGAGGGGATGGCCGGGGAGAGTGAGGCATCTCGGAAGCCTTGGCTGGGGAACGTGAAGAAGACTGGAGGGCACACGTTGGGTGGTGGAAAGCCAGGCAGCTGCTCCAGGAGGCCCAGGAAAGGGGGAATGGGGAATTAGGGGTCGAGGGGACGGATTGCGAGGCTCTGCAGTCCGCAGACACAGAGGCCTGGAGGTTGTTCGATGGTCGTTATCTCTGGGGGGCAGCGATGGGCTTTTCTTTTTCTGCTTTGCACATTTCTGGACTAAATTTCCTTTCTCTTTCTTTCTCCCTTTCTTTTTTAATGGGCATAAAGCTCTTTTTAAAGCGGGGGCGGGGGGGGAGCCAAAGAAGGTTGAATGTTCTTCTGAGTTCTAACTAATAACGTAGGTGTTCTCAAGAGCAGCAACATCTCTCTGTGACCCCTGGGCTGGACCTCTCCGTAATTGGTGTTAGGTGGTTAAAGAACAGAAGTCTCTTTAGCAGATAGACGGAAAGACGGGACCCAGCCTGCCCAAGTAAGGGCTTTGGAAGGAAAAGGAGAGAGTGGGCTTCTGTGAGCAGATGCTGGCTGTGGTGCCGAGAGGCTGCGGCAGCTGACCGCGAGCCACGGCTTCTGCCAACGAGCGGCATATGCGACGTCCTAGGATGAATGAGCACAAGGGGGCCGGATTGGCCGCGTGCTGGGGTGAGCTATCAATTCTGATAATGTGGTTGAGGTGGAGCAGGACATCAAGAGCACGAGGTCTAATTTAGTTATCATGAGCCAGGCTCAGTGGGCCTTGTCATATGTGATAAAAGTGCTTCCCAGATTAGCTCTGAGAGGTGGAGGTGATTCCTGGAATGGCTTTCAGCAATTCACAAAATGGCAGAACATAGGGCCATAATAGTCTGTGACTTTAAAACTAGAGATGTTCTTCTTTACCGGGTTGCATATTCGATTATCTGGTGGATTTGAGGTCTTTCTTCAGTAACCCACAGAATGACAATGAGGATTTGTGTCTGTTGCTGTATTAACACCTTGATGAGACTACTCGAGGACTGTCACCTCTCTCTTATAGACGAAGTAGAATGGGCAATTAAAGTGGACAGTCCTCAAAGTTCCTCCCAGCCCCACTGTTCCATAATTTTATGGCCAAGAAGAGAAAACCTGTGCCCAGCTGTGTTAAGATCGATGGGCAGGGTCCCTTAGGAGACAGAAGCGTGGTGCAGGTGTGAGAGCGTTGTGCGAGATTGTGAGCTACTGACCCGTGACATGTGCAGAGAAAGAAGGCATGCGCAGCCTGACTGCTGAAGGGCCACGTGTGGTTAAGTGGCTGCAAAGGAAGCTCTGCAAATGAACACAGGTACCCCAGAAAGCCACACTGGCCCAGCCTGGATGAGAGAAGTTTGAGGGCTGAACAGCTGCAGCGACTCGAAGAAAAATTAGACGAAGCCACTGCAGAAATAAAAGAGAGTTGTGGTGGTTTCAGCAGACCGGCCATTGGTCACCCTTAGTGACAGGGAAGAAGAGCCCCCAGTTAGGGGAGCCAGTGGAGGGGCATCAGGGGGAAGCAGAGACCCTCCTTCGAAAGTTGAGGACTATGTAGAATAGTGCAGTGGTAAAGCCACGGTCTGTGGAGCCAGACTGCCCGGGGTCAGATCCGAGCTCTGCTACCTTTCTAGGTGTGCAGTCAGAAGCAAGTAACTTGGCTCTGTAGGCCTCGGTTTTCTTGCCTGTAAAATGGGGGTGAGTACCTACCTCCAGGGCTACCGTGAGGATTAAATCGTTAATATGTGTGAAGCAGTTAGAATGGTATACGCGGCCTACGGCCTCAGAGCAGGGTGCTTATTATCATTAATATTGTTTCCTGAAATGTACTCCCGAGTCTGAGAAGCAGTGAAGACAAAGCTTTAGGAACCCCAGTCTCTAAGTGGTGTGTAACTTACCAGAGGAAACCATGCTAGGCTAATCGTGGGCGAAGCTGCCAAGCTAGATGGGCAAACAGGACTGGAGAGGGGGTGTCAAAGTTTGCGGGGGTAAAAGGCAGTGTCCCAGCTGTGGCAGAAGCCCCCAGAAGGAAGGGCGCCTGCTTCTCCTTGGCTGAGCAGATATCTGAGCTCATACTTCCTGGGAGAGGGGCCCCAGAACTGACGACAGGAGGATCACTTGAAGATGTTTCCTTCCTGAGGCCTCTGAGCAAAGGAACCTGAGGCAGTGTGTGCACAGGTGCTGCAGGGACAGAGTGGCCCGTCCTGCGAGCCTTGGGCCACTTGAAGTGAGAGCTTCTAATAGTGCTGGGCCAAGGCTCTGCCCTGGTCTGAGGGGCCCTCAGCCTGGCCTGGTGTAGTGGAACAATGATGATTATATTAGGGTGAAGTTTACAACATTGTTTTCATAGGTCCAAATGTCAGATATTGGCAGTTTCATAAGGTTCGACCTAATAATAACTAATTCTTAGCACTTTTAATGTAGCAGGCACTAATCTAAACGCTTATTTGTGTTGGGGCGCCTGGGTGGCTCAGTCAGTTAAGTGTCTGACTTTAGCTCAAGTCATGATCTCACAGTTCGTGAGTTTGAGCCCCGAATCAGGCTCAGTGCCGATGGTGCAGAGCCTGCTTGGGATATTCATTCTCTCTCTCTCTCTCCTCCCCCCTCTCCGCGCCCCCTGCCCCTTCCCTTTGCATGCTCACTCTGCCTCTCTCTCTCAAAATAAATATATAAACTTTAAAAAATAAATTTAAAAAAATCTTAAAATAAATAATAAACAAATAAATGCTTATTTGTGTTTAATTCATTTAATCCTTGCAATAGTCCCACAGAGTAGGTCATAATAACTACCCCCATTTTACAAATGAGCAAACTGAGTCACAGCGAGATTAAGTAACTGGCTCAAGGTCACCCAGGGAGTTAGACGCCCAGCATCGTGCCCCACACATGGATTGTGCTCTGTTGCCTCTACCTTGGGGCCTGGCCAGACACCTCCTGGGGCATTTGAGCTGAATTCACATAGCAGTACTCCAGGATCCCGGGCAAGGATCTTCGTCCTCCCCCTCCTCCCCCTTTCCCCTCCTCCTTCCAGGGCTTCCTCTGCCCTCTACCACCCCTCACCTTGCATTGATGATTGCTCACAGGCTTTCTTCTCATGAAGTAAATGTTTAACAAGAGATTGGTTGTTTTAAAACTGAGAAAGAAGTCCTCTAAGGTCCTCCTTTTGGTCTATGCTGGCTCCTGGGTTTTTCTCCTTCCACTGCCAGAAGGGCCTTCAGCCTCATTCCTTTCCATGCCCTCCTTCCCAGGAGGAAACTAAGGCACTGGCCTCTGTGGGAAAGTGGAGTCCGAAAGACCACCACACCTGGAGGCAACAGGGAGTTCTGGGCACTTGTACACGTCGCTGGAGCCCGGCTGGGGGGTGG